GCCTTCCTCCTTTGTCTTCACAGGGTCTTTCCGCCCTCTGTGTGCCTGTGTTCTGGTCTCCTTATAAAGACACCAGTCACATTGGGTTAGGGCCCACTCTACTGACTTCATTTTAATTTAATTACCTCTTTAAAGAGGTATGTCCAAATACAGCCCCATTCTGAGGTATGAATTTTGAGGCAGGGACACAATTCACCCCATAACAGCTACCATTTTCTCCCTGACTGTTCTTTCTGTGCATGTTTTATAAACATTTCATTATGTTGTCCTTAGAGAAAGAGTGGGACATTGTCCCATTCAGTAAGCTGATCCAAACTTGTCCTTGAGCCCCCACCCCCCAGTAAGCCCCCCTATTGAGTAATTGCATGGAGGCGCCCTCTCCTTGCCCTCTAGCTCTGCTGTGTGGCTCCTTTATGCCCTAGTTCTTGCTTATTTATAACTCTTGGCTATATCCTAGCACCTCCCTCCTGAGCTCCTATGTGGGGGCTCCATTAATATTCCTTATTGATACAAGTGATGGCATGTCAATGTGGATTAAGATCAATGGGGACAAGGCTATCTCACACACACACAGTTGGCATCTTCACAATGTGGCATATGCCTGTGAAATAACATGTGAGCTGGGGATGGAGGGGAAGAAGTGATTGGCAATTTGAGGTGTGGAGCAGATTTTTATTGATGAAGGAAAAGCCATGGAAGCTCTGAGTAATGTGTTCTTCTTTCCCCCAATCCAATGTCCACATTCTGTGAATGAGAAAGGCAAGAGAAAGTCAGTATGAGCTTGACACATGGTGATTCGAGGAGGCTTTTGCAAGGGAAAGTGGTCACATGATCTTCACATGTTGGGTGGAGGCAGCCTCTCCCCAAAGAGGGGAAACCTGGCAGACACTCAGTGCGCAGTACATGATTAATTGCTGTGTTGATAGAGCAGTGCAGGCCCCATGACTGTTTTTCCTAACTAAAGCAGCTGCTGCTGTGGCTTAAACAGCTGGAAGTGAAACCAGGGGAGAGGTGAGAGCTGCTGGGGTGGGGGGAAGGGTGGAGGAGGCGACTTCTAACATCCATGTGCGCAAGACTGCACTCCAAATTCTATAGCGCTAGGGGTCACATGTGAAAAGTAGATGACAAGTATTAGGGTAAC